ATACAAGCTTTCTTTATGATCTTCCAAAGATGGAGTAGGTACTGAATGGTATGTGTCCCTGGAACCTCTGATTCCAAACATTTCTCCCCAAAAGGAGCCAATGATATTAGTTTCTCATTAAAACTTCAGAAGACATTTTATTTGTACAATGTATATTTGCATATGATAATTTCACTTTTAATACTGGTCAACCATATATACTATTTTGGACTTTGTTTTTACATAACAATTTATCTTCAAGATCCTTCGYATTAGGGTACCTAGAGTTCCAAGGCATTTTGTTTCCTGGCTATTCCAGTATTGACACATATGAAAATTTATAGTACCAATTTTATGTAGATGACATTTACATAGTTTCCGAACTTTTCTGATTAAAATCAATGCATTAAAGAACCTCTTATGTATGTAAACTATTGCAAATGTGAGTTTACTAAAACTAGCATTATCTGTAAATGTTTCCAAGCATTTGTTCCCTCTAAGGCAGGTCATGCACTGATATCTTCTAGCAAGCACTTTTTATGTTTAAAACTTTGCAGAATTAAAATAAAAAACTTGAGCACCAAAATAGGCCAAAGCATGTACCACAAGCCACATTTTTCCTTACTTCTTTCTAAACAGTGAGTAAAGTCCTTTCCCAAGTTTACCAACAGAACTACCAAGAGAAAATAATGCATTTAGACCATTGCCAAATGATTCCAATACTTGAAAAATCCAGGGAATTTTACTCTCCTTTGTATTATCAATCATATTTCTCAGTTGATTAATTGTTGCATTCATTTCCTCAGATTTCTTCTTGAATCCTTCCTCAAGCAAATCCTTTTGAACCTAAAATAAATAGAATTTAAAGGGGTATAAATATTTTATAATTTTGATACTTTGAGTTATACTTTGTTTAAAAAACTTTGTCAACATGTCTTATTTTCTCCCTAAAATGTTTTCTCAATTACTGTAGGATAATTTAGCAACAAAGACTATCATCTGAGCTAGACCTAGACACTACCAGGAAGTAACATTTCCCACTTTACTAATATTCACCCACCATTACAGATTGGCTGCGTGCTAACCAAGATGTGAGAACAAATTCATATTCTTGCCAAGAAATGTTATTGGTCTGAATAAACAGATTCTCAGTCCCACTGGAATAGCATGGTCACCATCACATAGCAATGATGAGAACACATTATCTGATCCAGAAATCTATTACCATATAATTTCCAAATGGACAATGAGGGATTTCCTCTCATGCCCTGTGCAGCTGTTTACATCTGGATTTAACTGCAGCAAGTTTAGAAGCTGTCACTTTCCTGGATTTCTACTTCTGTCAGTGCAGATCTGCCTTAAGGTCTTTGAGTAGAAATAGGGCTCCAGACAACATGGGACTTGGTGATGCTAACCAATTGCTGTTCCCATCTTGACTACAGCTGGTTAAAATCTGTCTGCTTAATYGGGCCCTCATGAAATTTTTTGTTTGTTTATTCCTTTTATCCATTTACCAAATACTTGAAAGTAAAACCTTAACATTCAATCATTTTACCACTACACCTCTTATATGCATCTCTAAACAATGTTAATATTTGTCTTATATAAACACAAGGGCTTTATCATACTTATCAAAATTATTTCACATTATCTAATGCTTCAAATTTCCTTGATTGTTTCAAATATTCTGGAAGTTGTTTTGTTCAAATCAGGGTCCCAAAAAAGTTTAAATACATTTGGTTATTAGGTCTGAACTATCTTTTAATCTAGAAAAGTTCACCTCACTACTACTGCCATGACTTCTCCTTCTCTTCCTTCTTATCCTCCTCTTTCTCCTTCTTTTCTTTTTTTAATACCATTGATTTGTTTCAGACTGAGACAATTGCCCTATAGAATGTCCCACACTCTAGATATCACTGTCAWAAGATTACTTTAAAATCTCCTTAAACAGCAGCTTACACCATGTATAAAATCTAAAGATTTAAGGGACTATAAATGATTCTCCAGAGTCTAAATACAGAATACAATTTAAAAAAAATCTTTTTACAAGAGAATTCAGGGCTTGCAATAAATCACAAGCAACACATGGTGATTATCTTCCTTCTGTGAGCTGAGTATAATTTGCACTATTCCTTCTGGGGCCCCAGGACCATCAGAACTACTGAGCAGGGCATCACCCACCTTCAGCTGGTGCTCCAACATGGTGTTCTGGTTTTTCAGGAGCTCTTCTCTCTCCTCCTCCAGCTTCTTTTTCAGTTGCTCCA